TCTCTCTCTCTCTCTCTCTCTCTCTCTCTCTCTCTCTCTCTCTCTCTCCTCTAAGTAATAAAGGTTCAGTTCTGATTCATACTATGTGTCTGTCACATGTCCCTACCCAAGCGCCTGCTCGCCCTTAGGAACCCACCACCACTCAGGTGACGGACCTGGGACCTGCCCCGCTGGGGATTCCCTGACCCACCACCAGCTGCCGTCTGGGACACGCAAACATTTTTTAAATCATAAAAATGAGTGTTCCCGAAGCTCTACAAATCAGGTTATTCTCAGGGTATACACTCCTGTGAGTCTATCTGGTGGTCTGTCAGTTGTACTTTTGCTGTATAGCACTTGTGGCTCACATCAGTCAGTAATGATTTCCCTAAAATTGTCAAGGCATTGGTTGCGGGATCATTTCCGCTAGGCTACACCTGGTCTTGCTCCAAGAGTGGTAGCACCTAGCCCAATCCATCTTTTGTTTAGCAGATACCTTTTGTTTCCCTATGTTTGAATCTTGCCTGAGAGTTTTCCAAGAATACAAAGCCCATGCAAAACTTGGTTGGGGAAGCCTAGAAAAACTGTGGTACTTCTAGGCATTGTCCTTTTGGAAATTTCTTCAGGTTGTTTTGAGGATATGGAAATCAACTTGCTAAAATGTAAATTGGAGAAGAATAAAAGAAGCCCCAGGTGAAAGGAAAGATCCACCTTGCAGTCAAGGCTAAAGTCATTCTAAAGGTGCCTCTGAGTCTTCTTTCCACGGACCCACTTGAACCCAATACCACAACAATTGGTAGACACACAACAGAGTCAGAAACACACACCGAGAGATAAGATCTGAGGTAATAGGGGTGATACAGAAAACAGAGATGTGAAAGAAAGCAAGAGAAAAGAACAAATGACAAAGGTGTAGACAGAAAAATGGAGAAAGGGACTCTGTTCAGTGAAATACACAAGAGAAACAAGAGACAAAGAGGGAGAGAACACTGTTTTTAGTTGGGGGCTTCACCTCAGCCCCTGGCATCCATTTTGGAATGTTGGGTGGAAAGTTCCATGTCCAAGTTCCCTCTCCTGGGAGTTGCCTCAGTTCAAACTCCACCTCCAAGAAAGCCCACCAAAACAGTGACCCCTCCCCAGGGAGGGTCAAGACCACTCCCATAGGCTACTTAAACTGCCCCCCAAAGAACGAGCATATGGTCTTTCTGATTATCTGTGGTCTCTTCTCCCCTTTTCCCTCTCTGTGTTTTCCCTGGGGCCATCCGGGAGTGCTGGCATCCATTAAACCTGGGTTTCTTCTGATTTGGCTTAATTTAGTCTGATTGGCTTACTGTGTCAGCAGAGATGCTTACCAGACAAGAGAAAATACTTAACACACACCATTTGGACACACACAGGACGAGGAGATGCAGTGAAGGTGACAGGGCAGATGGCGGTAACACTGAGGACAGACGACCCTCATCAGTCACAGGTACCCAGTCACTGCTGACCAACAACACAGCCTCCTTACAACATCAACACAATAGGGTTAAGTTGGGTGGTTATCATTTGCAACCACAAAAATATTTTAATCTCTAAAAAATGAAAGTGTGCTTTAACTAGTGTGACTTCACAGGACACACTTGGGACACCAGTGATCAGAGGTCACAGCCTCTGTCCCCACCAATTCTACCATGTTTAGTTGCACTGTCCTCACCAACCTGAAGAAGGCTGGGGTGGTGTGAGAACAGAACACCAGACATGAAAATGTGACAGCAAGTCCTGACTCCTCAGCCCACCCTTACATGGAGCCCAGGATGCTTCCAAATGCCTTCACAGTAGAAACTGCTACTTCCGGCCACAGTTTAGCTGGGTCACTGTGAGTTCTCTTATTCCCTTCATCAGCTGACCACTAGGCCATGAGGGCAAAGGGGGCAGAAATGGCAAGCACAGCTCTGTACAGCCTGTGAGTATGGCAGAGACAGCTTTCCAGGAGACTGCTACAGTATTACAGCTCAGCTTTATTCCATAGCAACGGAGATACACAACATGGGACCAGCAGTTGGGCATCATCTAATTTGTGTATGGCAGCACGGTCCTACCGTACAGCTGGAGCACAAACCTCCTTATCATAGGGCAGCAGGGGGAGAGCATCTGCAGGGATGTGTGTCAAAGGTCACGCTTGAGATGGGTCGGGCGTCCAGGCTTAAGGACAGCTTCCAGATAAGGTCAGGCACTATCCAGGTCGGGAGGGAGTCCTACTGGAAAGGGGGTTCTCCCCCATTTTGCCCCAAGCCCAGAGAGCTGTCCAGACACAGTAGACTGCAATCTTAAGTGCAAGGTGCTCCAACAGGTCACCTTGTCCACACCACTTCCACCCAGCCCAACTCAGAAAGATTCGGGATACATATAATTCAGAATATGTTTAATTATGAAAAGAAGCAAATGTTTTCAGGGTCTCTTCAGCAGTCCTATGGGACAATGGAAACAGAAGGCTTGGGGTCTGAGGAGATTGTGTCACGGTACACAATGATCTCTGGAATCAGCCCAGGAGCAGAGCCAAAGACATAGCTTGGGGAGTCAGGGATCATAAGAGTTGAGTCATTGAGCACATGGGCACCATGCTAGACTCTGAATCAAAGAGAGACAGGCAGGCTGGGGCAGATGGGAACTGAGAGCAGGGACATGCAGATCTTACAGTACAACAGCCAACTCAGCCAAAACACCATGAATCACTGTAGGAGCCCTGTGAGAGAGAAGTGGGAGGGATTGGTCATAATAGGTCCCCTGGAGATGCCTGCCTTCTGGATCCCATAGAAGTAGACAAAGAAAGCTGTGTTCAGGCCCTGCCACCACCTTCCCCATCACCTGTGCAGAGGTGAAGACAGCTAAAGGGCACAGAGCTCACAGGACACAAACGTGTGGGAGGCAGAAGAGAAGCCACCACCCCCACCCCCAGGAAACATGAAGGATCTGATCTTGTGGGTAAGTCAGAGGAATCTGTCTCCTCTGCAGATCTATCAGTCTGTTCCAGCCACCATTAACTCCCAAGGTCATGGACTCCAGTGTGGGGCATAGAGCAGGCAACATCTTGGTGTCTAAACTCAAGGCATGGCTCAGGCTCCACTCAAGTGAGCCAAGTCCTGCTTAGAACAACTTCTGGAGCTTCCTAAAGACACCAGCTAGGACACTCTCAACCCCACAGCAGAGACAGGCTATGAACCAGGACTGTAGCAGGTACACCGCCTCATGCCCTTTCTTCATACCCACAACCCTACACCTGTACCCCCCCACACACTTGTACCCCCTTCAGATAAGGGCTGAAATATTACCTGCTGGAGGAGGCCCTCGAGGTCCTACAAAAGGAAGTCACATAGAGAAAGGTCTTGTTATAGAAACAGGGACTTGCTTACAAAACCCAAGGGACAACAGGATGTGGCGCTTAGCTGAAGCTGTTCTCTCATCATGAGTTCACTAAGGCCCTGAGCATCCCCCTCCCCATAATGGATGAAGCTGCCACCAGAAGGAAGGAAAACAAGGTCCATGCTCTCTCAGTGGTGGGAACTTCTGGAAGGGAGGCAGTGAGAGTGGACAGTAACAGAAGTCCCAGGATGAACTCCAGCACGGATATGGCACAGTCACTCAGCCAGCAAAGTCGGATTCTGTGTCCTTCCCGGGCTCTCCCATGTCCTCCCACCCCAGCCCAGCTCTTCGCCCTCAGCACAGCTCCTCGCCCTCAGTACAGCTCCCCCCCACCAACACAGCCCATCACCCCCACCCCAGCTCCTCCCCTCAGCACTGCCCACCACCCCAGCGTCCCCAGGGTCCTCACCTTTCTGACTCCTGTGACGGACAAAAAGGCCCAGCCCGAGGAAGATGAGCCCCAGAACGAAGCCCCCGATGCCGCTCAGCATCTTGCTCTGAGCAGACTCGGACTGTGCGCCTGGGGAGCAGAGCCTGGGTGTCAGCTTTGTCCCACAAACTCTGACTGAGAACCTAAAGTCCAGCCTGAGTCATATGAGGTGAAGAAGCTGAGATGACCAGTTCTCTGTTCTGAACTTATCCAAGGCAAGGAAGGGCAGATGAGAGATCTAGATCTCAGCAGTGAGGGGGAGAGGCAGAGGTGGCCAGCACAGGTGAGTGAGACATGTGCACCCAGACATAGCTATACTCTTAGGCCAAAACACCCAGGCACTAGCTATCATTGCCAATTCCTCTGGATGTTAGGGACCAGTTCCCAGTGTATGCAGTGATCTCCCAGAACTCCTGTCAGGAAAGACAATGAGGTCAGGGTTCTCCTGATGTCCTAACTATGGAGGCAAGAAATCTAATTTCCTGTGATTCTCAGCTCAGTAGTGGAATCAGACTTTGCAGGAAAAGTGATAGGATGGGTGGCACTGGAGGCACGGCAGTAGATGGCATCGGAGGGATAGGGGTATAACAGCTAAGATTCCATGTCTTTTGGGGCCCATAGTGAAATAAAAGTTTCCCTTACTCCACTCCACAGTGACAGGGCTCTGCAGGCTGGGGTGCTCCACGTGGCAGGTGTAGACGTCTCCCCGCTGAGGGGTCATCTCCAGCATGACCAGGACCTGGTAGGTCCAGTCCCCATTCTTAATAAGCTTCGTGGACACAACCCCCGCCATCTCCTCCTGGCCATTCCGAAACCAGCGCACTTTGATGTGGGCCGGGTAGAAATCTGACACCGAGCAGACCAGCGTGTTGTGGTGGTTGAGGGCCTCCATCCTGGACAGGGAGACGGCCACTTTGGGCTGCTCTGGGGGAGCAGATGAGAAAAGATGGTGAGTGAGATAGGGGGGGCACGTGAATGATCCCCATAGGGAAGAGGCAGGGTGGGGATGCCTGGGCTCTAATACTCCACAAATATAAAGTTAACAGTCAACAGGAAAATAACAGTGGCCCTACTCTTATATAATATGAAATGTAATAAATGTAGTAAAACAATAATAAAGAAAAGATCATGATTTCAAGTATATAATTTTTGAAGAAGAAATGCAAAAATAACTCCGGCACAGCATCACTGCCTTCATCTCCTCAGACCCAATGCACAGTTGGACAGTAGTGACTGACTTTATACACCGTGCCCGCTACCTCAGAAGCCATCTCCCTGAATTCCCTTTCATCCATTCTGGGTGAAAACAGCATGCACACTACAGTGCTTCATGAATTGAGGACACACTATGTTCTCCCCACCCCACCCCCTTGTATTCTTTCCACAGTCAAGTGTGTTGATTACCGTTGCCATCCCTGCACTCCCTTGCTGTGAGGAATTAACTACCTACGGGATGGAACAGAGGACTGTTTCAGTTGAATAACAAGGTTACCGGGAAAGCAAGAGGGGAAAACATAAGCAACCTTGTGTTAATCCTTAGTCATGATGTACAGTATTAAATCTGAACCCGGTGCCTCACACGACCCTTTAATTGACATCTAAGAGACTCTCAGAGTATCAGGGACTGTGTCAGAAGTAGAAATGAGCCAAGGAAAACGATGCCCACCGGATTTGGCTTGCATGAAAGCTTCAGAGGGCAATGCCATCACAGTCTCCTGAAAGGGGCTGAGGTAATGATGCCCACATAGCAACGGTTTCATCCAGGATGAAATGGAGCCAGGACCCCCTAATGAAATTGCTAGTTCTAAGCCGGGCAATGGTGGCGCACGCCTTTAATCCCAGCACTCGGGAGGCAGAGGCAGGCGGATCTCTGTGAGTTCGAAGCCAGCCTGGTCTACAAGAGCTAGTTCCAGGACAGGCTCCAAAGCCACAGAGAAACCCTGTCTTGAAAAACCAAGAAAAAATTTTAAAATTATATAAGAATAAAAAGAAAGAAAGAAAGAAAGAAAGAAAGAAAGAAAGAAAGAAAGAAAGAAAGAAAGAAAGAAACTGCTAGTTCTAGGTTTGGGGAAGATAAAGCACAGGCGTCTTCCACTCAAGAAAGGAAGCCTGGGGGCTGGAGAGAGTTGGCCATTAGGGCCACTTGCAGCTCCTGTAGAGGACCTGAGTTCAGTTCCTAGAACAGTCTATAGCTCCAGCCCAGAGCTTTTTTTTTTTTTTTTTAAATATTTTTCCCCTCAGATTTTGTATCACAAACTTTTAGTATGGTCCAAGTCAGCACAGTCTACTTCATAGCGCAGAGAACATAACAGTTATGACTTCAGGTCAGCACCAGGCCGCCAACCACCAGTCGCACAGGATAACCTCGGCCTCGAAGGGACAATCAGGGAAATAAAATGGAGGTGAATAATTACAAGACGCCAAAAGTTAAAACACATCGTTACAGAATCGTGGTCTCTCCCGTTTAGCTTCCCTGAGTCGGCTTGACCTTGGCCTGACTGTGCAGCTCACAGCAGAACCGCGGTCAGAGGGGAGCTTGGGCCTCACAGGACACAGGGCAAAGGACAAAGGTGAGGGAGGAGGGAGACTCTAAGAGGCGCTGCGTGGGGCAGGGTAAACAGGGAGGAGGCTGTAGCAGCTCCTCCAGCTGGGAACCCTGGCTGGGTGTCCCCCTCAGGCCCACTCCTCTAATGGCCGCCGCCTCCCGCGGACCCGCCCTGCGCTCACCGAGCCTCCGCAGAGAGGTGGGGACCTCCGTCTCCTCATAGTTGTGTCTGCACACCGTGTCCATCTCGGCCCGCTTCTGCTCCATGAAGTCCTTCTGGCTGTTGAAGTTCTCGGCCCACGACCGCCCCAGCTCGGTCACCGCGCGGTGCTCGCCCACGTCGCTGTCGTAGCGCACGAACTCCTCCCGGTTGTAGAAGTACCTGTCCACGTGCCGCATGTGCTGCGTCCCGTTGGTGTAGTAGCACAGGCCTCTGAACTGGTACACGAAATCCCCTGTGGACAGACGCGGTCAGCCCTGGGCGGCGCGGGCAGCGGAGACCCCCGGAGCCCGCGATCTGACCCCGCGCGGCGCTTCAGACTGGGACCACGCGGTCTCTAGGGACCTCGGAGCCTCAGGACGGGCGGGAGGGGGACCCCGCCCGGCTTAGAGGGGTCGGGACTCTGAGTGAACCCCGCCTCCGCGGAGCACGGGGCACCTGAGAGAAGCTTCCTTCTGAGTAAAGAAAAATTCAAGAGGAGACCAACTCTTCCTGACAAGAATATCCCCAGAAGGACAAACTGAACTTAGTGCGGATTTTTGTTTGTTTGTTTTGTTTTGTTTTGTTTTTCCTTTTTGCTAGGCAGTGGAGGCACACTCCTTTAATCCCAGCACTTAGGAGGCAGAGGCAGGCAGATCTCTGTGAGTTCGAGGCCAGCCTGGTCTAGAGATCGAGTTCCAGGTCAGCTACATAGAGAAACCCTGTTTAGAAAAACAAACAAAACAACAACAATTTTTTTAAGAGAAGATTTAAAGTTGGGTGGGGTAGAGAGGGTCCGGGTAGAGTTTTGAAGTGGGGGTAACTATGCCTAAAATATGATCAAAATACACTGTACAAAATTCTCAACAAACTAATAAAAAATGATTAAAAGAAAAATACCCCAACGCAACCACATGAGATTCTCTCCTGCGTGCAAAGGGCCCTGACCTCCCAGACCCTAGGAGCCATTTATTCTCAGAGAAAGCCCCAGCTGGAAGACAGGTGACCTCCAGACCTGCCTGCTTGGACAGTGACTCAGCAGAGGATCTTTTTGTTTAGTTGGTTTGTTCTTGTAGACAGGGTTTCTCTGTGTGACTGCCCTGGCTGTCCTGGAACTCACAGAACGGAGCATCTCAAGAATAACTGCTGAGGGAAGTTAAACTGCGCACAGGCATTCGTGGGGTGGGGGCTCTGTATGAAGTACATAAAGTACTCCCATCTGTGAACTGAGGGGTCTCCCGTGTGTATCACAGATTTCCCTTCTGTGCCTGACTTTTTCTGGGAAATACAATTTACCAACCCAGAGTCCTCAAGCTTCCATTTGACTCCTGTCTTCTGGTTCTCTCAGGGTTGGATGCCTAGAGTTTGCCCCCTTAAATCTCCAATCCGCACCAGGAATTTTCCTCAAATACCAAAACAAGAGCGCCACTGACCTGTGTTTCCCCATCTCGGGATCCAGCATTTCCTCCAGACAGCAGCTGGGGGTAGGGTGGGGGGCTGCTATGCCAACCCTGCTGTTTCCTCAGCTCTAACCCCAGGCTTCCTTTGTCCTGTCCTGGGTAATAGATTTAAACTCTGTCTCCTCCTACTACAATATGCAAGACTCAGCCTGTGCAGTAGGCACCATCCTAACTTCAATACCAGAACAGAGAAATGAGAATATAACCGCCTTCTCTTCCAGATAAAGGAGATCTATTATAAAAGACTGTTTTAAAATCGGAATCTTACCATGCTCCCCACACATTCCAGCATCCCCAGGGTTCCGAGATCCGGTCCCCCAGAGTGTTGGCTCAGAGACCCCTGCACCGCACTTATGCACTTACTTGGGGAGTCTCTGCCCTCGGCCCCCAGGCTGCTCAGCACCATCAGCACCGCAGCTGCTGCAATGAGTAGACTCGGGACCTGCACAGCCATCTCTAAGGAAAAGGTATTGGCAGCCACCAGGACGCACACCTGCTGTGCCCCCTTAGAAAGAAAAAATCTGTAGATGCCTCTGTGAGTACTGGGTTGGTCCCAGGAGAGGAGCCAATCAGCACCAGAGCTGAAGCATGTCACCAGTCTCTAGGCAGACATTGTTTACAAAGGCTCTCTGTGCTGTGCATGGTTGTATCTTCATGGAGCCCCACTGGGTGAACATTTGAGGTGACAATTCCTCTCAGATACAGGGTAAAGCTGTCCAGACTGCAGACTGCCTGTGTGTGGGGTTTAAAGAGACAAAAGAGAAAAGCAAGTCAAGTATAGACAACTTTGGGAGAGTTATTTTAAAACCGCTGTTATTCTTGAGGGGGTTAGTAGGGAATTAATAGAAACCATGTATTAGCGGACAGAGATTGTCCTTTGTCTTGTCTGACACTGAGGAGCCTCAGGTGAGGAAGCAGAGTTCTTGGGAGTCAACAGGTCACTGAACCTCTTTCTAATCTTGGAATTCTTGTAAACTGTAAACCATGGTCTGACCGCTGTACACCTAATGCTTCCTGTGCACACAGGAAAGAGTGATGTGACGTGGTTAATAATGAGAACTGCAGTGTGTGAGTGTTGGAAACAGCAGGTCAGTGTGCAGCCCAGCCCTGCTGGCTCAGGAATCTTCCTCATGGAGGTACCTTTTGCATTCATGATATCCCAATGGAAATATTTGAGAAGTTAGTTAACCCAACTTTTCTCTTAGAAATTCTTCTGCTGTCTAAATCCTCCACAACCACGAAATAGGTCCACGATGTCATCAAAGGCAACCATAAGTTCTTAGGGCTCCGTATACAGTCACCTGTGTGTCAAGGACAAAAGGTCGAAGATGTGAAGCAGCTGCTTCAGGACGACTGCTCACAGGCTTGTCATGCGGTGCCAGCCCTAGAGTCAGTGATCAGTTTGTGCTTCCCACCCTGTCTCCTCAGGTCTGAGCACACACTACCAAGTCTACTTATCAGTCAGCTGGAGCAGTGCCTGACAAACATCAGTGACTAAACAATAGGTCTCTTTCTCTCATTCCATGATGCTATCTCTATCATTTTAGATCCTAGTTAAACAGAACCTAAAAGCAGACTTGACCAGGGAAAGGAGAAAGGGGTAGAGACGGGGCAGCAAGAACGTCCGGAGAGAGCTCTGGCAGCGCAGGTGAGCTGCAGCATTGCTGGGGTCCACACTGCACACACTGATGTAGAGAACCAGGAGGGACGGCCCTGGGCTCCCAGCAGCCATGGTGCTCAGGGTGGACACAGATCTCCTCAGCCTATGCAGGGAGCATAAAGGGGAATCATCAAAGTTAAATGTGGAACGTTTGGCAGACAAACATGGCCATCCAGGGACCTTGGAGATGGATGCTCCCGGTATCCTCACCCCCACCTCAGACTAATCTGAAGGTTCTGCCTCTCCTACTCCCTTCCTAAGGAGGAAGCACCTCAGCTCTGTCCTGGGCTGTGAGGGAAGTCTGTCACACAGGGGATTTCCAGCTCTCCCAGGCCTCTTCACACAGGCTTTTCACCTGGCAACAAGAGCATCACCAGGAATCTTTTTCTGATTGGCTAAGATTACATTAGGAAGGCAATGCCTTGGCTTCTGCCAGCTCCTTCATCCTAGCCCAGCCTTTTCTACAGTCTTCAGCAGGATTCTAATCAGATACAGCATTCCTGGTTCAGCCACGTGGGGTGTGGGGCAGCATCCTCTCTCTCAGGCAGAGAAAGGAGACTACGGAGACTATCATCTCTGTGAGTTCAAGGCTACCCTAGTTTACAGAGTGAGTTCCAGGACAGCCTGGGCTACACAGAGAAACCCTGAGTTTAAAAAAAAAAAAAAGAAAGAAAGAAAGAAAAGAAAAGAAAAGAAAAGAAAAGAAAAGAAAAGAAAAGAAAAGAGAAAGGAGACAGCGACACCAGGTTCTTCAACAGGAAACTTCCCATCAAACGTAGTTTGGCATGCTTTAACTTGAACATTAATGTGGTTTTCTTCATGTTTTTGTTTTCTCAAGAGCAACAAATGCCTAGAAATAGTTGTTAACAAAGACAAAACCTTTGGCAGCTTCCTTCAGACAATGGTTAATAACTCCAGAATATGAAAAACTGCAAAAACTCAACACCAGAAAACCTCAGGTCTTCCAGTTATTAAATGAGAGAGTGCACTGGAGGAAGAACTCTAAAAAAAAAAAAAAAAAAAAAAAAAAAAAAAAAAAAAAA